TACTCCCACACACTATCACCCACTCTCACTCCCCCACACACTCACTCCCCCACACACTCACTCCCCCACACACTCACTCTCCCCCACACACTCACTCCCCCCACACACTCACTCTCCCACACACTCTCCCACACACTCTCCCACTCACTCTCCCACACACATTCACTCTCCCACACACTCATACTCCCACACACACATACTCCCACACACTATCACCCACTCTCACTCCCCCACACACTCACTCTCCCACACACTCTCACTCCCCCACACTCTCACTCCCACACACTCTCTCTCCCCACTCTCACCCACTCTCACTCCCCCACACTCTCACTCCCACCCACTCTCACCCACTCTCACTCCCCCCACACTCTCACACACTCTCACTCCGCCGCACTCTCACACACTCTCACTCCCCCACACTCTCACTCCCACCCACTCTCACCCACTCTTACTCCCCCACACTCCCCCACACTCTCACTCCCCCACACTCCCCCACACTCTCACTCCCCCACACTCCCCCACACTCTCACTCCCCCACACTCCCCCACACTCCCCCACACTCCCCCACACTCTCACTCCCCCACACTCTCACTCCCCCACACTCCCCCACACTCTCACTCCCCCACACTCCCCCACACCCTCACTCCCCCACACTCTCACTCCCCCACACTCCCCCACACTCCCCCACACCCTCACTCCCCCACACTCTCACTCCCCCACACTCTCACCCACTCTCACGCGACATGGTGGGATGAGATCGCGCGTCGCTATGCAGGAGGAGGTGCGCAGCGTTGTCCCAGAAGATGGGGGCTCACAGCGGGGGGGGGGGGGGCTCACCGCGGGGGGGGCTCACAGCGGGGGGAGGGCTCACAGCGGGGGGGGGGCTCACAGCGGGGGGGGGGCTCACAGCGGGGGGAGGGCTCACAGCGCGGGGGGGGGCTCACGGCGCGGGGGGGGCTCACAGCGGGGGGGGCTCACAGCGCGGGGGGGGCTCACAGCGGGGGGGGCTCACAGCGCGGGAGGGGGCTCACAGCGCGGGAGGGGGGGGCTCACAGCGCGGGGGGGGGCTCACAGCACGGGGGGGGCTCACAGCGCGGGGGGGGCTCACAGCGCGGGGGGGGCTCACCGCGGGGGGCTCACAGCGGGGGGGGGCTCACAGCGGGGGGGGGGGCTCACAGCGGGGGGGGGGGGCTCACAACGCGCTGATTTATCTCCTCGTATCCCCGCGAGCCGCGTGACCCACACCGCGACCTCGCGACGCCGAGCACTCGCACCTCCGATTGCCACGGTTGGCTGACTCGGTACGGTGCGAAAGAAAGTTCAACGTGCGTACGTGCACGGTGAGGTCGGCCACAGTCAATCCACCCACGGTGCACCAGAGGTCACCGAGTAAAACAACTTCCGCAGTGGTGCACAAACAACAACGACGGCGACGACACAAACTCAACACGTTCCTCGATAGCATCGTGACCTTCAAAGGAAACGAAACAGATTGGGTGCCCGAGTGATGTCACGCGTGAGTCTCGTGGGGTGGGGGACCCCTGTGTGGTCACGTGGAGTGGTGGACCCCTGTGTGGTCACGTGGGGTGAGGGACCCCTGTGTGGACTCGTGGGGTGGGGGACCCCTGAGTGGTCTCGTGGGGTGAGGGACCCCTGTGTGGTCACTTGGGGTGGGGGACCTCTGTGTGGTCACGTGGGGTGAGGGACCCCTGTGTGGTCACGTGGGGTGAGGGACCCCTGTGTGGTCTCGTGGGGTGAGGGACCCCTGTGAGGACACGTGGGTGAGGGACCCCTGTGTGGTCACGTGGGGTGAGGGACCCCTGTGTGGTCTCGTGGGGTGACGGACCCCTGTGTAGTCACGTGGGGTGAGGGACCCCTGTGTGGTCACGTGGGGTGAGGGACCCCTGTGTGGACTCGTGGGGTGAGGGACCCCTGTGTGGACTCGTGGGGTGGGGGACCCCTGTGTGGTCACGTGGGGTGAGGGACCCCTGTGTGGACTCGTGGGGTGAGGGACCCGTGTGGTCTCGTGGGGTGAGGGACCCCTGTGTCGTCACGTGGAGTGGGGGACCCCTGTGTGGTCACGTGGGGTGGGAGACCCCTGTGTGGTCACGTGGGGTGAGGGACCCCTGTGTGGACTCGTGGGGTGAGGGACCCCTGTGAGGACACGTGGGGTGAGGGACCCCTGTGTGGTCACGTGGGGTGAGGGACCCCTGTGTCGTCACGTGGAGTGGGGGACCCCTGTGTGGTCACGTGGGGTGGGGGACCCCTGTGTGGTCACGTGGGGTGGGGGACCCCTGTGTGGTCACGTGGGGTGGGGGACCCCTGTGTGGACTCGTGGGGTGAGGGACCCCTGTGTGGTCACGTGGGGTGGGGGACCCCTGTGTGGTCACGTGGGGTGAGGGACCCCTGTGTGGACTCGTTGAGACCCCTGTTCTGGGATGGGGGGGCCTGGTGTTGACTCGCCGGACCTCTCAGACGCGGCAGCGCCGCTCGCTGCTCCGTGATTTGTGCGCTCCGCCTCCTCCGCCGCGGCGATCTCCATGACAAAGGCCGCCGCTGCCGCCGCCTCCTCCTCCTCCTCGAGAGGGCGCAGACAAAAGCGGCCCCGCTCGAGGGCCCTCCTCGGGCGCACGCGCGGGGCCCCTTTTGTGTTGCCGCGCCAGGCAGGGGGAGTTGATCTGCCCCGCGGGATTGAGATCCCAACACACAGACACAGAGTGTCTGTGCGGTGTGTGTGATAATACAGTATGACACACATAGTGTCTGTGTGGTGTGTGTGTGATAATACAGTATGCCACACATAGTGTCTGTGTGGTGTGTGTGTGATAATACAGTATGACACACACAGAGTGTCTGTGTGTGATAATACAGTATGACACACAGAGTGTCTGTGGTGTGTGTGTGCGGGGGAGCGGTAGGGTAGCGGTCAGCGCTACGCCGTGTTTCGAACCCGGCGACCCGAGTTCGATTCCAGCTCACGGCACAACACCGATGACGATGATCTGAACCGGTACTGGGCCTCCCCATAGGTCGACTCAGCCTCAAATAAAGTACCTGGTGCGATGCGTAAACATCGTCACTCGGGAGACAAAGGCGACCGGGCGTGGTGCTGGCCACATACCCCTTCGTGTGCCGTGCCGGCCTTCATAGGTGTACTTCCTGAGAAGTGTGTTAAGCTTATACGGGGGTGGGGAACTTTTCTCTGTCAATCACACCACAGGTGCTAACCCGTCTCACGCCACTGCACAGCAACACTTAACTCCAGCCTGGGATCTCCTCCCACACGGCAGGGACGGGGGGGTGTCGCTGGACACAACAAAGATTTTTGTCCAGGACAGCCTCAACAGATGCGCGTGTTGGCGGGTAGCACCAATGAAGGCCGGCACGGCGCACGTGGGTGGCCAGCGCCATGCACGGCCGCGTGTCTTTCTCGTGGTGATGTTTACTACGCACCGTCACGAGGTACTCATTTGAGGCAGAGTCGACCTAGGGGAGGCCCGAGACCGGTTCAGATAATCGTCACTGGTGTTGGCCCTGAGCGGGAATCGAACTCGGGTGGCTGGGTTTTTTAGCGCAGCGTGCGAATCGCTACACTACAGCTCCCCACTCGCTGCACACAGATACGCAGCAGTGCTGAGCAAGAGGGCGCGAGACACGGAGAGACACGGACACTGAGACACAGAGAGGGACAGCCATGGAGAGACAGAGGGACTCGAAGACAGACACAGAGAGGAGATAGACAGGGGGGAATTGAGACAGAGACCACGTAGAGACAGGGCTATACTCAAAGACTGACAGAGAGAGATAAACACGGAGAAATACACGAAGACACAGAAAGACAGCGATATTAATGAGACAGAGAGACACGCTGAGACACTGAGAGCAACCCGAACACAGCCAGATTCGTTAATGCGGAGATTGGCAAATATCACGGGGACATGCAGACAAAAAGCTAACGTTTGATGATCCACATTCTCTCAACTATCATCGCAACCAAACACCGAAGTTTTCCGACAAAACAAACTCATTGCACTTTTCTCGCCTTCTAATTATAATACTTTCACTAGGGGACGTGGGTTAATGTTGCTCGTTAGATAAGGGCATCCCAACACCGACCTTGGTGGGCATGTTTAGCTGCTGCGGCACCTGAATGACAACACAGGGAGCCTCAAGGTGGAGGCCTTGGGCGAGGCTGGCACGGCCCACCTCCCATCACGCATCCCGTCGACTGAGCAGGGAAGATTATTGGCGCCGTTGTTTTGGTAAGACTTGGGGGAGAATGACAATGGGGGATTCATAGTTTACACATGCGGGTGCTTCTATGAACAGGCGGGTGGCATGTGCGCATGTAACCCGAATTCAGGACGCCCTGCAAAGGTTGACTCCCGCAGGGCCACGAGTATTTGACAAAGGTGCACAGACGAACAATTCCATACCTGTCAACCCCTTATCAGTGCCCTACCTTATTACAGACAATTCAGATATTATTGGTCACCCCGTGCCCCTTATACATCTCAAGGTTCATTCTACAAAGTCCCATCACAAGGGAGAAACACAGACAAAACTTATGTTACTAAACTATTTTAGTTTGCCCGTATTGAAACGGCTGTACGCCATACGGATCTGAAAACTCAATTTCCCTGAACAAGAACACAGGTAAACCGTGTGGGTTGACAGGTATGGATTTCTCATGGAGCAGGTATCTTGCACAAATCACATGATCCCTTCACATGCCAGATCTCTTCCTCAAGGTCCAGATATCTCACAAATTGTAAATCTCACAGACCAGATATCACACGGAGCCCGTATTGAAACGGCTATACGCAGTATGGACTTGAAAACTCAACCCCCCTGCACAAGAATACGAAGTAAACCGTGTGGGTTGACAGCTGTGCAATTCGATTCAGCTCTAAAGCCAAACGACCAAGTCGAATGTTTATAAACTGAAAAAGTTCCTCCTCCTCCACGTCAATAGAGATGCACTCACAATGGCAGCTGTGCGAGTGGAGCGGGTCTTTTATTGTGTGTCCTCTGTGTTCAGGGAGTTGTTGCCGCCTCACTGCTCTCACACCAGAGGCAAGAATCTCCCTCGCACAGAACCCGGGACTCCCGGAGAGTGAATTCTCTTCCTTCACCACCCATCACCACCACCACCACCATCGCCTCCCAATAGATTCGATGCGATTTTTTTTACGGGGAGAAATTCAAAACTCATTTACTGGCCACAGTAATAATACGGTAAAAAAGCCACACAACGTGATTTCGAGGTCGTAAAAAACATTATTTTGACTTGCCTTCAAATATATATACTTGTATATACATATGCACATATTATACAGAAGAGCGCACACGACGATCCATCGTCGCGTCTGTACAATTGGTTGGCTTCGACTCGATATGGGGATGGTGACAAAATAAATATAAGCGTGACCCCCCCCCACTCTCGCCACTCCTCATTTGCCAAATTTCGTTCCCGTGTTTGGAACCAGCCGACTCGCCCAGTGGAGGACCCCCGAGGCGAGTTCGTGCGACGGCCGTCGCATCCACGGTCAAGCGCACAGCCTCGGAGCAAGCTCTGTCCGCTGCGACTCGTGATGGCGATTATGAGCGGCGGCGCAGCATCCACGTGGGGCGACCAGAGTCGAGGACCATCACCTGGTAAACCAACTAGGTGATGGTCCCGGAGAGGTGGATCACCGCAAGTCGACCGCCGCGGTGGCGACGCGGAGTTTACTCAGTGTCAGGGAGACTCGCGCCCCCGCCGTTGCTCGAATCTCATCATCAGCGGTACGTGAGAAGTCCTCGGAATCCCAGTCGAGCGAGATGGCGGTGATGATGCTGCCGCTTCGTTCCCAGCACGTGACACTTGTGCAGGCACGCGATGAACGTCTCTCCTCTGAAGTGGCCACGCGGGCGACGTGTTACATTCCCACGGTGAACACGGACAAGCGTCTGTGCTGGGTGTCTGCCTGGTGATGAGCGGGGACGACGCGGCTGGAGTAGGGAGTGTGGATGACGGAGTGTGACTGGAGGGAAAAGTGTGGAGGAGAGAGTGTGGATGAGGGAGTGTTGAGAAGGAAGTGTTGAGCAGGAAGTGTTGAGGAGGGAGTGTGGATGAGGGAGTGTGGATGAGGGAGTGTGGCTGGAGGGAAAAGTGTGGATGAGTGGCTGGAGGACCGAGTGGGGATGAGGGAGTGTGTATGAGGGAGTGTTGAGAAGGAAGTGTTGAGGAGGGAGTGTGGCTGGAGGGAGTGTTGAGGAGGAAGTGTTGAGGAGGGAGTGTGGCTGGAGGGAGTGTTGAGGAGGAAGTGTTGAGGAGGGAGTGTGGCTGGAGGGAAAAGTGTGGATGAGGGAGTGTGGATGAGTGGCTGGAGGACCGAGTGTGGATGAGGGAGTGTGGATAGAGGAGGGAGTGTGGCTGGTGGACGACTCCGTCACGCAGCGCGAACCGCGTGCCACGCAATCCACGCGAGTGCGCCGAGCTGGGCCCCGTAGGAGCTCTGCACCCGGGCCCCCCGGGAGCCGAGCGCGGCCCGTGGCCTGTGCGGCCCGGGGACCGGCCCCTCGTCGCCGTGAAGTTCCTCGTCGTCGTAGAAATCGTCCGTCGAGGCGCCGCTGCCCGACTCGGCCGCGCCGCCGAAGCACAGCCTGGCCATGTTGTCCTTGACCACCTCGCAGAAGGGCCGCTCCAGGCCGTCGCACACGCACTCGCTGAGGGCCAGGGCCCTGGGCACGGCCAGCATGCGGCTGATGATGTCCCGGCAGCCGGCCGTGCATCGCGCCCCGTTGAAGAGTTTCCCGCAGCTCATGAGGTACTGCTGCATCGCCTCGCCGCACTCGGGCTCCTCCTCGCAGCGCTGCCGAGCTTCGGTGCAGCCCATGGGGCCGCCCTCCTCCTCCTCACCCCCCTCGGCTCCATCCACGGCGCGTCTTGCCGAGTAGGTGCGCGGCATGCACGGCTCGATGATCCGCTTATAGCCCAGGCAGAGCGCGTCCTCCCGGCAGTCGCAGCTCTCCAGCAGGGGCCCGCTGCGCGTCTGGTTGAGGCGAATGAGCGCGTGGATGCAGTGGCTCGGGCAATGCGGCCCAGGCGCATCGTCCTCCTCCTGCTCCTCCTCCTCGCCGCCTCCTTCCGCGGGGTCGCGCCAGGGCGCGGATCGCAGGACGCCCTCGCAGGCGCGCAGGTACTGGCTGTAGGCGCGCTTACACTCGGCCTCCTGCAGGCAGCGGATCTCGGCCTCCCAGCACGGACGCCTGCCCGCGGCCTCCCCTTCCTCCCGCAGCCCCGAGGCCCCGCGGCAGCAGCAGTAGCAGCAGCAGAGCAGGGCCACGCGCAGCCACCAGCGCATCGCGGCCATGCGCGCCGCGCTCCCTCCGCTACCGGCGCCGCAGGTAGCGCCGTGGCCACGCGGCGGTGGCGGCAGTACGCGGGCGAGGAGGAAGAGGCGGCCACGGGTCCCGTGGAGACGCGGGGCCTTACCGGCGGGGTGGGATGGGGGGGGGCTCTTCACGTCGCTCGCAGCGGGAGCTCGGGGTCTCCCCGCGCCACGCCGGGGGCCCGATCGGATCCGCTCGTCTCGGCAATGGCGGGCCCAGGAGGCCGCGGAGGAGACCGCGGGGGGCGCGGAGGCCCGGCCGAGCGGGGCCCAAGCGGAGCCCGAGCGGCGCCCGACGTTCGTGAGTCGGCGAGCGAGCGAGGAGCCGCGTCGACCCCCCCCCCACCTCTCGAGGCTTCTCGCGGGCGAGCGCGCCGCCCGTGAGCGCGCGGCCGCGTGGTTCGCTCCGAGCCGGAGTGAAGGCTGCTGCCGCCGCTGCTCCGAGAGAGATGTGAGACACAGGGGGACGAGAGAGAAGAGGGGACACGAGAGAGAGTGAAGAGGGGACACGAGAGAGAGTGAAGAGGGGACACGAGAGAGAGTGAAGAGGGGACACGAGAGAGAGTGAAGAGGGGACACGAGAGAAGAGGGGACACGAGAGAGAGTGAAGAGGGGACACGAGAGAAAGTGAAGAGGGGACACGAGAGAGAGAGAAGAGGGGACACGAGTGAAGAGGGGACACGAGTGAAGAGGGGACACGAGTGAAGAGGGGACACGAGTGAAGAGGGGACGAGAGAGAGTGAAGAGGGGACACGAGTGAAGAGGGGACACGAGTGAAGAGGGGACGAGAGAGAGAGAGTGAAGAGGGGACACGAGTGAAGAGGGGACACGAGACTTGGGATGCGCGGCCCCAATCTCTGCGCGCGGCCCCGCGAGCCCCGCGCTTTGTGGGGCGCCCCCCTCCCCTCCCCCACCCGGCCCGCCGCTCCTCGCGCCCATTGGCCGAGAGGAGCGCGGGGTCATCGCCATGGCGACGCCGGGGAGGGAGGGGTCGCGCGGTGGGGGTGGGTCCTCACGAGGGAGGGGGCGGGGCGCGGGGGGCAGGGGCGTGGTCGCGGGAGGGGTGTGTGAGACCCAAGCAGAGTTTGTGGTTCATTTGCTTTGACCGGAACTCAAGTGGAGCGGGGTTCGCAGTCCCCTTTGCAAGAGTGACCTGGTGTCAACAACAACAACAAAGTGGCGGCGACGTCACCACGGCGCTCGTGCCAGGCTAGGTGCACCTCGAGGCCACGTGAAGGCTTGCTGACAAGGGATATAGAGCTAGGTGTTATGGGTTGACTGAGGTGACTAGCACCAGCTGTGCCCCCTTCCGTGCCAACTTGCTGCGTGTTAGCCGCCTGGCGCCACGCTCTATCTGCCCTGCGCTGTTGTTGTGGGGTGACTGCCTCCAACCGCCCAGTAGCCTTATGGTCCACCTAGCCTGGCACTACCCTAGTACCAGTCGTCGGAAAGTCCACTCAGCTCCACATCCTCCTGTACCATTTTAGTCCACCTCTTCTCTAGCCCATAGATAGAGACACACAGATATACATAAAGACACATAGATACACAGTTTCTAAATTCCAGTGTATTTTACGTAACCAAGTGAAACTCACGAGATAATGATGACTTGGGGGTCTCCAAAATTACAAAAGCAGAACAATTAAAACGTAGCACAAGCAATCCGAGAAAACAAACCATCCAAAGATAAATCATCGCAAGAGCAACTGTTACAGGCGAAATTAAAACATACTCCACAAACACAAATTAATATACTGTAACAAAAAATACAAAATACATTTCCCAGAAAATACATATTTACTTAAAAACTAAAAAAACCTACAGTGCAATTAAGAACCCGCAATGCGATTAAGTTCGAGAAGCATGAAACAGATGCAGGGCGGCTATCGATGCAGGGCGGCTATAGAATAGAAGGCTATAGAAGAGTACAGGGCGGCTATAGAATATGGGACAGATGCAGGGCGGCTATTGCTTTGCGGCGACTTTTTTAGCGCGTCCGATTGAGAATGAACTGCAGTAATTGTGGAAAAATCTCAACAGAGACGAAGTCTCAGCATAAATACGAGAAACGCAGGAGTGTCGTGCAAACGCCACGTGGAGGCGCGGGTCACAGCAGAACGCGTGACCCTGGGCCGGCCAGGGGAGGCGGAGAGAGGTCACATTGATGAACGGCAAACGAACGCAGCACATGGGGCGTCGAGGCTTGGAGTTTTCACTCCCGTGCGTGTCGCCGGCTACGTGACACAAGGCTCAGGCAACACCGTGGTCACTCACAAAAAATATCGTGGACAAAGAAACGGGGCGATTCTTAGATTTGGTCTTTTCACAGATCTCTTTTGTGCGGAGCTAGAAGGTCATCAGGCTTCCGTCCATGATAACCCCGATACATCTTGGAGTGAGGTCACAGCTGGCTCCGCTACCACACAGAAGGACATCACGGGTGGCATCTGCCGCATGATTGTTCAGGTGGGAAGCGCTTGTGTTGGTGGATTTGGAAGGAGTTGGTCGCATTCTGTAGCGCCGTGGTAAAACACGCGGGGGAGTGAGCAGGGGAATTGATGAAGCGATACAATTACAGGTACTTGGAGCATTGACATTTTTCTTTTGTCCAAAGAACCATGCACCTTAGTGCTAAAGTGCATCGTTCCGATGGTGGGGTCGAGTCTATCCATAGGATAACCACGGTTGACTCCTCTACAAAAGGGTACTGATTATATCGACCCCTGAGGTATGATGGGCTGAGTCGACCTCCAATGAGGATCTTCTGAATTCGCAGCCTTACGATTGCGCGCCGCTCGCTCTGCCGCTGAGCCACCTGCTGGGTTCACGGAGAAGTGGGAAAGAGTCACGAGGGGAGTGGTGGGGAGTCATCCGGGGAGTCATCCGGGGGGTGGGAGGAGTCATGGGGGGAGTCATAGGGGGGGTGGGAGGAGTCATGGGGGGAGTCATAGGGGGGGTGGGAGGAGTCATGGGGGGAGTCATAGGGGGGGTGGGAGGAGTCATGGGGGGAGTCATAGGGGGGTGGGAGGAGTCATGGGGGGAGTCATGGGGGGAGTCACGGGGGGAGGGGGTGGGAGGAGTCATGAAGGGAGTCATGGGGGGGGTGGGAGGAGTCATGAGGGGAGTCATGGGGGGAGTCACGGGGGGAGGGGGTGGGAGGAGTCATGAAGGGAGTCATCGGGGGGGGGTGGGAGGAGTCATGAGGGGAGTCATAGGGGGGGTGGGAGGAGTCATGGGGGGAGTCACGGGGGGAGGGGGTGGGAGGAGTCATGAGGGGAGTCATGGGGGGGGGTGGGAGGAGTCATGAGGGGAGTCATGGGGGGTTGGGAGGAGTCATGGGGGGAGTCACGGGGGGGTAGGAGGAGTCATGGGGGGAGTCACGGGGGGGTAGGAGGCGTCATGGGGGAGTCACGGGGGGTGGGAGGAGTCATGGTGGAGTCACGGGAGGGGTGGGAGGAGTCATGAGGGGAGCCACGGGGGGTGGGAGGAGTCATGGGAGTCACGGGGGGGGGGGTGGGAGGAGTCACGGGGGGGTGAGGGAGTCATGCGAGGAGTCACGGGGGGTGGGGGGAGTCATGGGAGGAGTCACGGGGGGGTGGGGGGAGGAGTCGTGGGGGGAGTCACGGGGAAAATGGGAGGCACCACGTGGGAGTCGCGAGGGGAGGGGGGAGTCTCTGGATGAGTGGGAGGAGTCAGTGGGGGAGTGGGGGGAGTCACGGGGGAGTCTCTGGATGAGTGGGAGGAGTCAGTGGGGGAGTGGGAGGAGTTACGGGGGAGTCTCTGGATGAGTGGGAGGAGTCAGTGGGGGAGTGGGAGGAGTCACGAGGGAGTCTCTGGATGAGTGGGAGGAGTCACGGGGGAGTCGCGTCTCGCTGTGTGGTCCGCGCCCCGTGTTTGTCTCTCCCGCGATGCGGGGCGGCCAGGAGACTGCCTGTGCTGATAATTTTGATAAATTTACACAAACATCAATTAAACAGCAATTAGCTTGAGACATTCCTGATTTAAAAAGCAACATTGGCTGTTTTTGTTGTCCCACATTTTACAGAATTGCAGTTTTTTTAAAGAAAATGTTTTTAACCTAATTAAGAGCGCTGCCCTGCGTTTGTGGTGGGTTGTTATCGGGGTCACATCCAGCAGAGTTCCCATCAGACACCGCGGTCATCCGATGCCCCAGCGTAACGTCCCGTCATCCAAACTTCCAATTCGTGGAATTGTTTGAAATGCGTGTCTGACAAAACAAACGCGTTTTTTGAAATCTGTTTATGGAGCAAAAATAAAGATACACGGGGGGTGGTGGGGGCCTACATTCAACACGAACGTTCATTTTTAAATAAACATTGCATTCTACACACACACACAATAACAACTACCGTGCGTGTCACTAATTGACCGTGACATCAACGCGGCACTTGTGCCAGGCTAGGTGCACTGCGACACTACTGGCACCAGCCGTGGACGAGTCCATGGGTTCTCCCGTACCACACGAGGCCCCATTGTCTTTGCTCGCCAACTTCACGCCTGTCGCCAGACCATTGCACCAAGTCAGACGCCCCCCCCGCCCCCCAATAGTCAGACAAAGCTTCCGCATTTTCTGGGATGCTCAAGCAGGCCACACCGTGAGCTGCCAGAGCCGCTCCACTCGCTGATGAACAACAAGGCCCAACTCCACGGCCACACACGCACACATCGAGTCACCTCCTTCTCACCGACACTGCCCCAGGCCACCTGCCGCTCTGCTGCTCTGCCAATCACGAGTCGAGAGCGAGACCAGAAATTGTTAAAATTGAGTGGCGCACCCCGTGCCACAGCGTCACCCCAAGCTGCGTACGCACGTGACGCGCTCCGTGGCATTCGTAATGTACTCGATTTGTAGATGTTATAGTGGGTTTAACACAGGTGTATTGAACTAGTAACGAATTGGGCATGTTTTGTTCACGTGACAAACCTTCTTATTAATTGGCTGTGTCGGACGGTGGCGGGTTGAACGACACATTCATATTTACGCGATCTAACCCCCAAAGGAACGTCGAATATGGATTCGTATACTTAAATCCCGGTGCCGCTTACTCAGGTGAATCGCCGGGCTGCCTGTGTCGTCTCAGACGGGCGAGCAGGTGGCTTGTTTGGTTTTGCCCTCACCTGAGGTCACGTCTGGCCGGGCGCCCATCGGGGTGAGAGGGCACCGCTCACAAATAGACGGCCGCGCGTTTGCAACTCCTGGGCGCGGTTGACTTCAGCCAATCGTCGATCTGGGGACGTTCAACGGCTCTCATCCTCTGGGGCGCCGCGGTGGCGAGATGTTGACTACCTCGCCTGGTATGCAGGAGGTCGTGGGTTCGATCCCGATCCCGACCCTGACGCCTGCTGTATATTTGGAGTTTGCGTGTCACTCTCTCCCCGTAGTTACGTGGATTTTTTTTTATCCGGGTCCCCCGGGTTTCCACTCCACATCTAGAAATATGCGCTTAGAGTATTTGGCTGTTATAAATCTCCAAATGATGAGCCACTTCGTTGAGCTA